CCATTCATTTTTAATCTGTGTATTACATGTGAGAACGCAAGCAGAACGGCTTTATTCTTGTATTATGCTCCATTCGTTGTAATCTTCCAGTTTGGATGGGCATCAACGCAGATTTCTCATCTTGCMCTAATTCCAGAACTTACAAATGATGAAATCGAGAAAACAAGTTTGAATGCTATTAGGTAAACTRTTGTAGGTCATTTGTATTTTTGCTAAGGGGTAGTAAGGGCAGAGATATATGTTCTCTATAGTGTTTGAGGGATTGAGAAAATTATATGTCGCATTTTGGCGGTCAAAATTTAATGTGCCACTTCCTTTGATCACTTTTGAATTGGATACGCATAGTGCATCGTCACATTTGAAAAAGTTGTACTTTTCCAAAGATTAAACGTCGTTGTGCATAAATTACTTTGAGAATTACGTACGTTATGCAATCTGCACCTTATTAATGTGTCACGCAATCTTACATATTGACTTTTATTAGTACTATGTTGTTTGACTTACGAGCAACAAAGCTCAATTGAAGCTCAGCTGACTAAAACTAGCTTTACTTTCAAATATTGGAAATTCTTTAGATTCTTGTATGATAGAATTTTATTATTTGTACATGTATAATTTTTTTCTTTCTTTAATTTCCAGATATGCTGCTACTGTAACCTCCAATATATTTGTTTTTTCTATTGTGTGGATATTTCTTAATTCTGTAACCACTGGAAGTCTGTCTATAAGTCGTGAAGATTCGAAGGCATTTATGGTATGATTTTCTTTAATAGAATTTTAGGTAATATTATTTATTCATAGTAGAAATATAAAGTAGATAATTAAAAGTATGATTCAGTCATGATTATGCTTAAAAATATATCCATTCACAAGTTAATAATATTTTTTTAACTCACTCAAAATCGTTTAGTTTATTCAATTGTTTATTATATGTACATATGTGTATTCATTTATTCATTTATCAATCCATCTCATCCATCCATTTAATATCCATTTCAGTAATTAAAATTTTTATTAATGGATTTGTTATTCCATCTATTAATCCATCTATCTTCTTTAATATTTTTATAATTGCATTTCATTTGTTGATTACAAAATGTGAAACTTAGCAAATCTGAGAAAGAAAAAACCAATGTCAATTTTTTGTTGTTGTTTTAGTATATTGTATTTGTCATWCTTGGTACTGGGTTATTATTCATGGTGATCTTCCATGTGGGAGTAAAAGAGCCCTACAGAACATGTTCACATGACTTGGCATCAAGCACAAACATGAGATCATCACAGAGCTGGAAGTTATGGTTTAAGAAGATCCAATTTTATCAGGTTAATTCACAATGATCCATTTTACAATTGCAAGCACTTATTATGAAAGGGCCAGCTGAGGTRTTTCGCCAAAAGTTTATTAAAGTAATGCAAAGTCGTCTCTGCAGTGATACATAGATATCAGTGGATAATTCTCTCAGGTGTGATAAAAGGATCTACAGTATCACTGCAGGTTAAACTCCTGTCTTGCTTTGATGCAAGGACTTGGCTTCCTTGTGTTACGTTAGACTGTCGTTAATAGACACTGTGTTGTTGTGCTAACTTGTCCTTTAATATCACAATCGGACTAACACATAAAAACAATGGTGAACTCTCCCACTACACAGGTATCCCGATACTGTAAATACCGTTACACCTTGTAAGATGACTTTTGGAATTGTGAAATGGAGGTTCATTTAATCTTTCATTTCCTTTATATTATTTAATATACCTAAGTTGATTGAAGATGTTTAATAAATAAATATGGATTGCTATGGAGGTGTCAGCTTGGGCTGAAGCCATCATACTTTTTCTATTTTTTTTTCTTTTTCTTTACCCCCATTCTCTTATCCAGAAACTTCTCAGTTTCCTAACTGAAAATCGAAGTCATTGCTTGGAGACAAAACTGGAAAATCCAGACTCTGGGTTATATGGGACATGGGAATTATTGGTTAATCAAATCAAAGGCTCACTCGTGACCATCCAGAGCTAATTGATTTTCCCTTGGGAAACTGAAAACGGTCTGAATACGAGAATGCTTTTCTCCTTCTCAACTGCTCTTCTATTATTTCTAGGTTGCTCTCCTATATATGTCCACTCGTCTAGTGGTTAATTTGAGTCAAGTGTACCTTCCAATGTATGTAACTGAGACATTGATGTTGAGTAAGGTAAGTTTACAGCAATTAATGTCACTGTTAAAATAAGACTATTATCTTTGTGATAGACGTACAGGTTGAAGAACTGGAAAACTTGCAGCTAGTACTGTACAAGTAGGATAGCAGACAGAAACGAAAAGTTCAAGAAATTAGGATAGAAAGGAGAAATAGCAAGGTACATAGGACAGGTAGTACACAGCTTAGTAACATATAGTTAGAAGAATTGAAGGATATTTGGCAGTTCAACTAAGGCAGAGTGTAATATCGCTAATACATAATTGTATCGTTGCTGTTATTTCAAAATCTGTAYATCGTTAATTCTATATTGTTATTTTAGGTTGCACTATATAAGGCAGCTGTGGGAGGAACAATTTATAACATTGAAAACAAATATTGAGTTTTCATCAAGAATGCATTGTACAGCATGGACTAAACACTGATTTTTAAGTTTTTTGTTCTATAGGAAACTATTGCTATTATGCCTCTCATTGTGTATATCAGTGGTTTTGTGTCTACCTTCTTTGCAAAACCTCTCAATCAATATATGGGACGCAAAGTAAGTAGTTATCAACTGCAAATATTTTGTCCGTATCAATGGTAATAACATACAGACTTAATTATATTTTTGTGACGTCTCATGAAACCCAAGAATACAGCGCACGAATGACTAGGATACTGGAGAGAAAAAAAATACTGCTTTTACATTAAAATCAGACCTGTTACCTGCAAGTGATCTCAATGATTCTAGTGAAAATTTATTTTTTTCTCAATTTTATTGTTTTGTAGGTGACATTTTCTATAGGATGCATCATCATGATTTGTGCATGGTAAGTTAGTAACAGGTTCTAATTCAAGTMCTTGGGCTATAACAAAATAAATTCTTTGTTTTTTTTTCTAGTACCTCCTTCAGGTTTATTAGCATACATGGTGACAATTACAAACAGCAGTTTATGTATGGAGGTAGCGTGGCTCTTGGTATAGGAGGATCTGTCATGTTGATAACAGCTTTAGCTATCATATCAGAAATGATTGGGAAAAATAAGGTAAAAATTGGCCCAAGGATACTCTGTGGATTATGTTGAGAAGTTGTGTGGTTAGTAACTCTGATGACAGTTATAATACTTCATTGAATTTATACTTCTAGAGGTAATCTCTTAGAAATTAAGCAAATTATATCTTTTCTTGAAATTTCTTTGTTTTGGACTGTAAAAAACAAAAAAAATTAGTATTTGTAGAGTGCTGACACTTTGTCCATGAAATAAAACCAAATAGTTATTATCAACAGTTATTTAGCACAAATTTAGTTTTTCTGTTCAAACTTTGTTTCAAATCAGTATGTTTAAATACTAATTAAAAAGCTTTATTTGGTTTATTTGCTCCCTGAAGTAACAGTGATATCTTTCACATGCAAATAATGTTGTTATATTTTATCTCTCATGAAGGAAACTGGTGCCTTTGTTTATGGAGCCATGAGTTTTGTTGACAAACTATCCAATGGAATTGCAGTACAAATAATACAAATCTTTCATCCTTGCAGCCATGCTGAGTAAGTTGCCCTTAACTTTCATTTTTAATTTACAGTCATCAGCCATTTTTGTTACCTCTCACAGGAAAACATGTCATACCATTTGGGTAAAATAGCATTTTTCCTGTTAATGACTATTTTAATTAGTAATATAATCAGTTTGTTAAAAGATGTTCAACCATTCATCCATCTAGGTCCGTCTGTTCAAAGGCCAATATCAAGGACAATTAGTCCTTTATTTTTGATATTCAATAATACAGTCAACCTTCTGCTTTTTTTCACTTTTTCACTTTTTCCTAATTAATTTGGGGTTTCTTTTTTGGAACTAAAGATGAAGATGGGGAAGAGGGCAAAGAAGAAGTTTGAATGAGTCTGAATGAGTCTTGTGCCTTTGGCAACCTCTATGCTTTTTCCACAGGAAGCTCCCCAAAAAGCAAAATGTTGACTGCCATGAAAGCTAGTTTAAGATAGCATGATTATAATGTAGTTTTTTGAATTCGTAGATTCTGTTGTGGAAAGTGTGCACCATTTTATCGTGATGTCATGACTTACGTTGCTGGTGGAGCTGCGATCTTGGCACTGATTGCTTTACTGACATTATGGAAAACAAAAATTGGYCGATTTGATAAAGGTAAAACTACTGCAAATCAATGTTGTTGATATTAGAAAAATGATCTCAAATGAGAAATATTTTTGATTGAGGCTAATAATAGTATGAGAGGGATTTTTATTTCAGTTGAAATTGAGGGTGACATTAATTATTGTAGTTTGATTCTAAGATTGGTATCATGAGAAATTATTGAGCCTCAAATGAATGACAACACTATGATTACCTATCAGTTGTTTGAAYATTTCTTCATTTTATACAAAAGACCAAATAAAATAATCTACATTAGCTTGTGCTTGTGTGGCATAGAAAATTGTTGGATGGTTATGTCAAGATATGAATAAATGATGAATAGTCCTTGTACAATCTGATGATAAGAAGGAGAAACAGTACTTAGCACATTGTTTGTCTGTCTGTCTGTCTGTATCTGTTCTTTATTGTTTATCATCGTTAGTTAATGTTGTCAATACTCCTCTACAGAATGCAGTGGTCAAAAGAAACTTATGGGTTGTAACCAAACAAACTCATCTTCCATATCAAGATCTGAGCCTGAAAATGGCTCAATTCGAAATGGACCAGCTATCCCTTACTATCCCACCAAGCAATCAAATTATGGCTCTATTGAGTGTCAAAATAAAGTGAATGGATCTATACAACAAGCACCAAATGCATGTCAGCTAAAGAAGTGTTCAAATGTAAATGTAAAGAATACTGGAACAGTAGATACCTGATAGTACATGGAATTGAATGAATTGAATCTCAACAACTGCAATTATTTTAATATTAACTTTTAATACGTTTAATTAAGACACCTATGRAAGGTGAGGAATAAGGAAACATTGAAGSACATGTTTTTTACATGTTTATGTGGTTTCACTGGAAGGTTTTGAAACATTTTTAAGTCARGGCTGCCAAAGTTCAACAGAGAAAAAGTGTGTGCAATTTGTTTTTTAAACAGATTTTAGTTTGCTTCTTCTGCGTATTTAAGGTTTTTTATTCTTCAAACAAGTTAGTGCACTTAATATACATAGCTAATGGTAAAGTGCTTGAGAGGAAATGGCCGCTAAGGCCGAAAGCTTGGTTTGAAGAATAAAAAATATRCAGAAGAAGCAGTCTTCATTTTTAAACAAATGCCTGCGTACAAAGAAATTCTGAAGATTTTAKTTCATTAATTTGCAAAAATCATTTYTTTYCTTTCATTGAGCATGTRCAGGAAACATGTCAGCACAGGGCAGTGAATATCCTGTTTACTGACACACTATAATTGCCTTTTTTTTGATATTATGTGAGTCTGGATACAAATCCCTTAATTTACATAATGATAAATTGAGAATAATAAATATAAAATTAATAAATTGTAATGTAAGAATCAGCATGTATTCTCCCACAATGCAAGTTTAGGTAATTCTTTGCCCCCCAGGCTTGTAAGGACTTACTTATTGCTTACATTGGGTGTTAAGAAAAAATTGCCTAAAAATTGGCCCAATATATAGAGTACAAACATTAAAATTGTGCAGCATAAATATTACTAAATACTGGTAAATTATGCAAATTCTATTGTTTAATTAATTAGGGCTTTAATAATAAAATAGTGTAGTGCAGTGCAAACTYTTAGTGTTTGTACTATAGTCTTATCTTGTGAATAATATTCAATATTTTATTGAAAATAATATTGAATAATTTTTGACTGGTCAAATCTCAAATTTTGACTCTGCCAGTCTCAATTTAACGCACAACAAACACTGCAAATACTTTTTATTTTGTTTTAGAGTAAATTAAAGATATCTATAATTATTAATTAGTTTATTAATTAATGATTATTAATTAATTAGTTTATGATAATTTTTTTATAATTTTAAAATAACAATTATATTGTAGAATATTATGTACTAATAGAAATATTCATTGGTGAAATATTATAATATAAGGCATGTGGGGATGGATAAAAAAAATCCCCTAAAATCCCCTAAAAACAGTTTCTGAGGGTTCTCCCTAGCCTCCTCTGCAGRCGTCTYCCTTTTTTCCCTCTCTTCTTTCTACTCTTGGGCTTCGTGTGACTCACTTGTAGGAAATTAAAGGGCAAAATGAAAGTGTGGCCTGCGTAGGAGGCTACCAGTATTTTCTCTGAGCCTCCCCAAGTCCTTTATTTTACCAAGAAGCGCACAGAATTTATCTTTTATTTCTTATATAATATAGGCAGTTTAGATTTACTAGTGTAGAAAGTATAGCTCATAATTTGTACTATTACACTCAGATCACTCAATTGATGGTTTTCAACCATTCCCATGAGAGTAGCAAAACAAAAAGGTCCACCAGTCACGGTGGTGGTTTTCTCTTGTCAGGTCCACCAGCAATGGTGGACGTCGTTTGTTTAACTTTCTCTCTTGGGAATTGTTGAAAACCATCAATGCAGTGTCAGAAAGCAAATTATATTTTAATGCATACCTGGGTATCAGGATCTGTGGAGGACAAGTGACACAGGGTATTGATTATGGAGAGTAATTCCCCCTCTTCAATTGTACCTCTCTCATCAGTCCCTTTCCTTAAAAATCTGATGCTCAGGTTTAATGAATTTTAATCAATTATGCTATTAATTAGTGATAAAGTTTATGCAATGAATTTGTCAGAATATATTTTCCTGTATACATGTATAATAAGATAATATTGTTGATAAAATAAAAGTCAATGAGGATATCCTATACTCGACTCAAAAAAATATCGCTTATTGCGTTGGGTATCAGTCACCTTTTCTTAGAAATACTCTTGAAACATTTAAACGGGATCCCTGTGTTTTATGCTACTTGCCCGAGTCCCCCGCKTTCAAATTCAACATGGCGGATTCACTTTGCGAAGCACTCGAYGAACTGACTCTCGATTTTTTCGATAAATTCGAACAATTACAATCAAAAAGAGAAGAAATCTGTAAGATAATGAGAGATGGATACCTGAACCTGTCTCAAGCACGCTATTCCATGGGAAATAAGTCCGTTTGTTCACTTCAATACAGCGAGACGATGAAAGCTACGACACTAGTTCACATGGATGACAACGAAATATTTGAAATTATAAAACATAAACCAACAACGAAACASGAAGAAAAATCAKCTGAACAGACTTCTACTGCAYTAAGGAAAAGGAAAGGCAACAAAGAGTCTGAAAATGCKGATTTTGGAATTGACGATTTAGTRATAGAAGAGAGACCAAAAGAGAAAAAAGTCACTGAGAATCCTTTGAACTGGTTCGGTGTTCTTGTCCCYATGTGCTTAAGGACAGGYCAAGCACAATTCAAGACTGCCATTGATTTATGTTGCGAGMTAGCAAACTTAGAGAATGAAATCAAGGCTTTGATACAAAACTATGAAAAACAGAAGCATCTTAAAAAGAAGGGGACTGAAAACTAATCATGACATTTTTTGATTCACAAGATAAATTTTTTTTGATTATAAATTCATTAGAGTATTATTTAAAAAGTATATTGCTCCTATTACAAACGCTTTGGAGTTATTATCTACAAGACGTTGATAGAAGGCAAAAACCCTATATTCGCTATACGGGGACGTGTCGCCAACAGGGTTTCGTTTTCAGCAAAATTAATCTGGAACTGGGTGTCGAATTTAGCGAATTTAATCTAGAACAGGGTATCTATTTCAACGAACTTTCTCTGGAACAGGGTCAGGGTTTAATTCCGGAATTATTGATGCTGGGTTAAAATTCTCGGGGTAAAAATTCGGTTTACACCAAGCCCTCTATCTCTGGAACCGAGGGTATCGTTTTCAGCAAATTTTACTCCTGAACAGGGTCAGGGTTTTGAGGTCCCCAAGCGGCACACCCCCACTCAAGTTGAAAATGGATGGGCTATAGCCAACCCGAAACGCTAGTATCGACTAATTTTTTGATAATGCTTGGCCTATAGCCCACAAAGAGCGCGCAAAACTACGTATTTTTGATCAAAATGAAAGGGTAATAGTCCACCAAAAACGCTCAAAATGACCCATTTTTGATCAAAATGCAATGGCTATAGCCCACCAGATTGGCCAAAAATGACCAATTTTTTATAAAATGTTATGCATTCTGAGTGTTTTTTTGTGGGCTATAGCCCATATATTTTGATCAGAAATGGGCCATTTTGAGCGTTGGTGGGCTATAGCCCATGCATTTTGATCAAAAATGGGTCATTTTGATCAGAAATAGGTCATTTTGAGCGTTTTTGGTGTGCTATATCCCATGCATTTTGATCAGAAATGGGTCCTTTCGAGCGTTTTTGGTGGGCTATAGCCCATGCATTTTGATCAAAAATGGGTCATTTTGAGTCTTTTTGGTGCGCTGTTGCCCATGCATTTTGATCAAAAATGGGTCTTTTTGAGTCTTTCTGGTGTGCTATAGCCCATGCATTTTGATCAAAAATCGGTCATTTTTGGCCATTCTGGTGGGCTATAGCCCATGCATTTTAATCAAAAATAGTTCCTTTTGAGCGCTTTTGGTGTGCTACAGCCCATGCATTTTGATCAAAAATGGGTGTTTTTGAGCGTTTTTGGTGTGCTATAGCCCATGCATTTTGATCAAAAATGGGTGTTTTTGAGCGTTTTTGGNTCCATGCATTTTTATCAAAAATCGGTCATTATTGGCCATTTTGGTGGGCTATAGCCCAAGCACTTTCATTAAAAATCGGTCATTTTTGTGTATTTTGGTGGGCTAGCTATGGCCCATGCATTTTGATCAAAAATCGGTCATTTTTAGCCATTTTGGTGGGCTATAGCCCATGCATTTTCATCAAAAATCGGTCATATTTGGCCGTTTTGGTGGGATATGGCCCATGCATTTTGATCAAAAATCGGTCATTTTTGGCTGTTTTGGTGGGATATAGCCCATGCATTTTGATCAAAAATCGGTCATTTTTGGCCATTTTGTTGAGCTATAGCCCATGCATTTTCATCAAAAGTCGGTCATTTTTGTCCATTTTGGTGAGCTATAGCCCATGCATTTTCATCAAATATCGGTCATTTTTGGCCATTTTGGTGGGATATAGCACATGCATTTTGATCAAAAATCGGTCATTTTCGGCCATTTTGGTGGGCTATAGCCAATGCATTTTGATCAAAAATGGGTCACTTTTGAGCGTTTTTGGTGGGCTATAGCTCATGCATTTTGATCAATAATGGGTCTTTTTGAGCGCTTTTGGTGGGCTATAGCCCATGCATTTTGATCAAAAATGGGTCATTTTGAGCGTTTTTCAGTGGTGGGCTATAGCCCATGCAATTTGATCAAAAATGGGTCCTTTTGAGCACTTTTGGTGGGCTATAATCCATGCATTTTCCACTACTTAAATAACAACTTTTGTAAAGAGTGAAATATAGGTATTTCAAAGATAATCAAATAATTAAATATTCCAAAATGAGTCATGAAAAGCAATAAAAAAAAGGAAAACCACCACTTTCGTTTAAGCGCTATACCACGTCATATGGTTGATTTATAATGGTTATTTACTAAAAAGAACATGCGCGCTAGGCCGTTGGACTATGAGATGTAATTGAGTAAGGACATTAAACCCGTATACATAATTTGACTGTTTAGAGGAATTTTATCCGTGAAATATACACTAAATAGTTCTTAACAATAAAGTCACGATAGCACTCAAGGGAATCAACTTTTAAAATCAAGTCATTCATTCTTTATTAAAATAAATGATAATAATTTGATTCTTGTGTATTTAATGTCTCCGGAGTATTGAAGAACTATAAGTTGATTCGCTTGAGTGCTATCATCTATTTAAGTACAAAATGAAGAGTTATAGTGACTAATTGTTAAGAACTATTTAGATTTTAGAGTCATTTTCATCCGTCTGTGAAATAGGAATTGTACTATTAAATACTATTACCCCCTATTAGCTCCAAATAGTTTAACTCATGACAAACAAATCAGGCAAAAACGGTTTTGATTTTGCCTTTTGGTAGCCTACTACACCCTTATAGTTACTATTAAACACTGACTAGTAGTAACTGTTTCACAGACGGATGAAAATGACTATTTCACGTATCAAATAAAATTGCTCAAAGTGTGACAGGCGAATACACCTACTTGCAGAAACGTTGTCATAGAAAATAGAACATTCGAATTTAGTAAAATGGAATAAATTAAAACAAGACAAAAAAAAGCGTTCAGCCTCAGTGATCTTCTTTTGTCTTTTTAATTTATTCCTTTTTACTAAAATACAAATGTCCTATTTTTTTATGACAACGTTTTCGCAAGTAGGTGTAGGCACAAAAGAATACAGATGCAATTTTAAGGTACAAAGGAATATAAGTGTAATATCTATTTCACATGTTTATTGTTTATACTCTAGCTCTGTGGAAGGGAAGAGAAGATTTGCACTCCTCTTTTCCTTTTCCTTTTTTCCTTAAAAATAAAAAAGGCAAAATTCCCACTAAAAATCCTAGATCACAATACATCAAATTCAGTTCATCCATAAGTATTAATAATGTCTTTGATTCTGTTAACACTTATRTTACTTCCGCATGAGAGTACAACTACGTTCTTTCCTTTGTACTTTGACATTGTCTTGATATAAGCTGCTATGGCTAGWCCTGCTGAGCCTTCTACAATCTAAAAGACAAACATACGATTGAATTTCAAACTGGACGTAAATCCCAGAGCGTTAGCGCGATTTTCTCACATACGAAATTTCGCCGTCTTTGTTTTTGAACCAGAAAGCACATTTTAGAGATATAATTTGTAAAACAAAAGAAACGAACACAAAGCCTCTCGGATACACGCGGTCCTTTAATGTATAGTTTGTGGGGGATTATGAGCCCTTTGTACAACCAGCCCCCAGTGGCGGATCCAGCATTTTATAAGGGGATGCTTTTGTTAAAGGGACACTGTCAATGGATGACATGCGCAGTAACAGTCTCACCTCTAACGGACTTTGAAAGTATTACCTTCGAGATAAATCATTTTGTGGTGCTTTTGACACACTTTGGAATATTCTAGATCTGTTTACGTTTACGAGATGATTTATGTCGCGCCAACTTGGAGTCATAAACTTGAAATCACTAGCCTAGTGTTTTCAAGTATACTCGCGCATGCGTGCCATTGACAGTGTCCCTTTAATAATATAGTTAAAAAATAAGTATAGCAGATGGAACTGATCATTTTTGTTAGCTGCGTATTGTCTAAAGAAGAAAAGTACGCACAATTTGACCGGAAGCAAATTTACTTTTATTGAAACGTATCTTTGACTACACTAGACTACTCAAATAGTAAGTAGCATAGAGGCAGACACATGTTGTGTATACTACTCGTTTTCTGAATAAAAGTACAACAGGACTATAAACAGCAGAAAAAAAATAACGTTTATACTGATATATAAAAAACTAACGTCGTCCAAAAAGAGGGGTGCGTCCGCACCCAAAGCACTCCCCCTGAATTCGCCCCTGGGTTCCTGCTCTTCTCAACACTTTCCTACCTTATGATGGTGTTCCATGACATTGTATATAGCTTTAGCAATCTCTTCCTCTGTTACAATGACCCAGTCATCTACCACTTCCTTGCAGATATCAAACGTTATCTGAACAAAACAAGGAGCAAATTAATGATTAAAACAGAGAAMTTGTATCTATAGACAGACATATGATATATCATGTAAAAAACATATCTTGATGAGAAAACAGAGAGTTTCTTGACTCTTGGGAACTGGATCTAATGTGACTGCCTTCCATTGAACTGATCATAGGGATCTATAACCAAGAAGGAAATCTGAGGGTGGGCCACCCGAGCTGTGAGATTTTGAAAAAAAAAATCTTTAGGGTTTTCATCTATGGACTACCCCTAATGGTATTTCCCCTTAACCAAATACTATCTGACTTCAATGTCTATAACAGGACTATAATGATCCCAATTTTAATTAAGTGTTAGTACTATGCTTAGATTAGACTCTTCCAAGACCAAACATTTGGTGATATAAGCCTGTGAACAGTCTATGCCTGGATTACCTGTGTAATATATCATCTATGTTATGGGTTACCTGTTGAAGACATGGCACCGTAAGATTATAATCCACTCTAAATTAGCTTTGTGTACATATATCTCAACCCCTCCCCCCTTCCTTCCTTGAATTTTACCCAAGAGGGGTGGGATAGGAATGGAAGCTCACAGGTTACTCTAAATAATATTTCCTTAACCTATCCTTTACAATGTTTCTTGTTGTTGCTGCTGATATTCCTACTGTTGTTTAAATATTGTTSTTGATGCTTTAACTATACTTAGAACTAAGAGAACAAAAAAGGGTACAGGTCTTGAGCTGCCACCCCTTCTCGCTTCATCCTAAAAAATATCAACTACTAACAATGAGGACTTACATTTCCTTTCTCCACTCCCCCTGCTGTCCCATCAGACAAAGTGGGCTTGTTTGGGACCTCYACAATGTATCCAGCTTTCTGTGATTCCGACATTGCAGGGGATTGAATGGTTTCACACCCAATTATCTATTAAAAAATACATTATTAACATAATCACTGATGATTTTGATTTTTGTGAAATATTTAATTTCTCTTAATGTKTTTTGGGTATGGTTGCCAAGCTACCAAAAACAATACCTGTCCTGGAAACAAGGTAGTAGCCATGGTAACCACCATCTATTGGTACAATCAGGCAATATAATTAAAATATCAATTTAAAGAAACAAAATGGCAGAGCACTGAGASCCTGCAGACAAGAGGAAGACAGGGAATGTTTACTCTGTTGTTATGCTCACTGACACAGGGTACCCATCATACAAGAAAGAAGAGGCTGTAGGGTGTATGTGTTTTTTCTTTTTTGTTTTTGTTTTGGTATTGTTTTTTTTGGTGATGCCAAAGACTAGAGATATGCAAGAAGGAAAAAAAGAAAATGAAATTAAATGAAAAGTATCATTGAAAGACAAATGAATATTCACGACTTTCAAAAATGGCGCAATGTGTCACGGTCATCGACCAGGGCACTGGGGACGAAGCACTAACACGAGGTCTCAAAGGCCAGCCTCCGTATAGTGAGCTTCAATGGTGTCTTGCAAGAGTGTTCTATTATAAATAACATACCAATACATCTTTCAAACTTTTCGACACTGCCATACATACGATCTTCGTAGTGATTTCTTGATGGAAGGCCTTTGAGGTCTCGTTTCCATGATTCGTCACTGGTCGTGGACGTGAATTGGCGCCATTTTGAAAGTCGTGTATTAGTATCCATTTACAGATTGCTAATTATACATACTTTGCAATCAGGTTTCACTGACTTTATGTAAGCTCCAACGCCAGCAACAATACCCCCTCCACCAACAGAAATAAACACTGCATCAACAGAAGGAAGATCTTCAAATATTTCACATCTAAAAATCAAGTGAAAAAATACAACACTTACTATAGGAAAAGTAGAGCAATAACTCTAAGTATCTTCTTGTATACATTATTATATTATAGCTCAATTCTAACAAACGCATTTCTTGCTTAAATTATACAGTCATGTACCTACCCTATCACGCCCTGACCAGCAAGGACATCCCAGTCATTGGATGGTGAGATATAGGGTATTGAATTTGCCTAGAATCAACATGATTAGATGTAAAAACAATTCTTTTAAAATGATTATTTAACATCTATATTATGCACAGCAAACTAAATGTTTACTGAGGCACTGGCTATACATAATGACTTACACAAAAGACCTTTGTCAAAATGTTGGTTAATTCTTAGTCAGCTGATGATTGAATAAAGATCTCAAATAACTATCAATCAATCAGTATGTCAATCAATCATTAATCAATCAATTAATCAATCAATYGATTGCTAATTTTTTTCAAACAATTGATACCTACAATATAACAATATTTAAATTATGGAACAAATAGGGTATAGCTATTATAATTGAGTAATTCTTTGAAGTTAGGGATGTGACTACAAGGGGGGGGGGGGGTATGTAAACAAACAAGTTATCGTGATGGTGAATAGATACTAATCAACASACAAAGTTAAGAACTGTTTCACATTGTGTCTAACAAAAAAACACCATCACACTGTTTAGCACCGAGTGGTGCATAAGGCCTTTATCGAGCTTCTCCACTTCTCCCGGTTYGCTGCCACTGCCCTCGCTCTCCCATGTTCCAAATCCTGTAATAGCTAGCTCCCTTTCCTTTATAACTGTGCGATGCCATGTTGTTTTGGTCTGCATGCGTTTGCGCCTTCAAACAAAAAAACATACAATTTGGTAATCTATATAAGATTTGGTTGTCATACCTCACTGTAGGCTCTTGCCAGAGACTCTGCTTCAGCACAACCTTCTCCTTGTATTTCAGCTGTTGACCCGTACTGTTGTATCATTTCATACTTGAACTTTTCTACCATTGTGGGAACATACACTTTTCCATTGATTCCTAATATTTTCATAGCTAAGGACTGAACAAGACAAAATATATCACTGATTGCAAACTCTATGGGAAGTGCTCCTTAGAGAAGAATGTTAACTTTTGAAAACGGTGCCTAACAAACTGAGTATTACACAGTATGTGTGTATGGAAGCAAAAGCATAATTTTTTCCMCTAAAATGGACAATGATTACCATAGTGCTTAAAGTTACCCTCCACCAGCCCCCTCCCACCCCCCACCCAATTGCAAAGTGTTCAATAAGATAACAAATTCTTGAAAGGACTGAGGAGCACATTACGAGTTGGTGGGCTTAAGCATTTGAGCTTAAATTATCGACTTTAACTAAATATAAGATTATTGAAATAGTTCAATATATTTCAAAATTTGTTTTCTCTGAGCATCATATTGAGCCCCCTCCCCCCTCTCCAGGCTCAGCGTTGGTCTCTGTTTGACCCAGAGGTTGTTTAATGAGTGCATGAAATGCAGATCTTACACAAGCTGCTCCATGATTCCCAGTTGATGCCACAATTGCTTCTTTGATTTCTGGATTCCTTTCCTTGATAGCCATGAGTTTATTAAATGCTCCTCTTGCTTTTGCAGAGCCAGAAATTTGTTCGCTTTCTACCCAAATATAAAAATTAATAAATAAATAAATAAATAATTATTGACACGACAAGAAGAGATCAATAAATATAAAATTAATCCATTGCAAGCTGGAGTAGCCTTGGATTATTCTAATGCTATCTATCCAGGGATCTTTATCTGTTATCTGTAGATGACAACTTTAATTTCGATCGTTTGCTTTGTTTTAACAAAAACTTCTGATTGGATGAAAATGGAAGATGGGTTTTTTCGTAGCCAAAATCGTGCAAATTTAAGCTTACGTTCTCGTATTGCACGTGGGCCATTTTAAGAACCAATTACTGAAGTTCTAAGCTATTAAAGTCTGTATTTGAGWTGTATCTTCATGGTAATCGGTAACTTAAACTTAAGATCAGATATTTAACATCGTTTGCTGTTGTTTTTGTGTTGTGTGTATCCGATCCATTGCATTATCAGCAGAATTTTACCAGTCCGAGACAGACAATTCTCACCTACCCCATTTGATGTAAACGTGGTTGCTGTTTAGCGAACTCAGCCAGTAGGAATAATCCATAGGAGTATGTCGTACATGAGGGCGAATCCGTTTACTTGCTTCTATGCACTTTCCGGGTAAAGAATCCATTTTATAAAAGATCACAAGAACAAATTGCGTAAACTCACATACCACGTACTCTCGAGCCTTTGAACCGTGACCTGGTACCAAAACACAGGGAGCCCAAATTAATTTGCATTTGAATTAGTCGTATCTTCCTGCACTGTCTTTGAGCWTATAGGTCACTTTGTTTTGGTTTCCCGATTATATTTGTGTCTTTGCACAAGCATCAAACGCCGTCGGCTCGTATTGAGATCAATCATCTAATTAGCAGTTGATCTTAATTAATAGTCCACCTCACCCAATTTTTTTTTACAGTTGGAAAAAAAAGTTTAGGAGTTATAAACCACAAATTCACATAAAAAAATTTCGAATTTCCAAATTATATATTTTTATGATTTTTGGCCGAGTGCGAGGGAGACTGATGACGTAGATGGAGTAACTCGTCCTTCGGTAAATACAAAGTTTACTGTACAAGTTCCACATATTTCATTACAAATCTATGTTTTCTAAGACTGAACGTGGGATAATCCAGCCTGAAACGGCAAATCTAATGCTACTAGAGATTATTCTGACGATTTGAACGTTATTTCATGTCTTGGCTATAAAAATGGAGCCAAAGTGTTGAGAGATTATTCTGGACAAACAAGTGTTGCGTATAGATCTAGATAAATATCGAGGAACAGGAAAAGTTATTTACGGCCCCAGGAAAGTAACTTCTTTCAATATATGTAGGTAGTATTTACAGCTGTTCAAATTCCAGGTTCTCTTGTTTCAGATTTGATTTTTACTGTCATTTCACTGTAGGTATCTATCGTTGTCTCTCGAACGACTTACTCCCTCTACGTCATCACGAAGACATTGATCAGGCACACAGGAATCCCGAAATTGGCTTTGTCCGCGGTTGTTTTCGCTTCAAAATGTAGTTTAAATAAACGAAATCAAATTTGTTTTTACAAATTGTTGTTACTATGACAAAAGTCTTTTCTTTACAAATATAAAAAAAATTGGGTGAGGTGGACTTTAATTAATTAGCAGTTGATCTTAATAATGACGACTTAGGGTCGCCGTATACCCTCGAAGGGACTATAAAACTTAGTTGGTGGGAATTCTCGTCGTTATCACCCTAAGCGGGACCAAAACACTGATTTCAAATCCTAAAAGGCACGATGCAAATTAGATTTGAATATTCCAACGGATGGCAGTTACGTATAGATTTCTGATCGAGGGCATTATGCTGTGANGTGCAAGTGCGAGTCTTCAGCAGGCAATGAAGGAGACGAGAGAAACGGGAATATACGAGAAACCAATGTACTGGGCTGGCTTCTTTCTTATTGGAGACGATGCCACTATCACCGTGTAATGGAAGTGCTAGCAGTAATACTAAATGGAAATTTATCTTATCATAGATTCACATAATTGCATTTATTTCAATCCAACCTTGATCATTTTTCTATGTAATGGGACTCCATACTGTCAGAGGACTGCAAAATTTGGACGTCAGTTGGAGGAATTTTTTAGAGTCTAATTATTTCACAGTTAGACAGTATGGAGTATTCCAAGGCTACTAAGGGCTGTGAAATTCGAATTATCGATCGATCCTCACTGACTCACTGCTACAACAAATGACTTATATTAACTACTTCCATAATGGGTTTCCGGGTTTTGTTTTTTGCGTAACATGACCGACGATGATAGTTCTTACTGTTCGATAGCGTATTGGATGTTTTGGTTAGTTGCCAAAATTTTTAATTGGTATGTGAAAAAGCAGTTGAAAAATCGATTAAAACTAGAAAAACACCGCTAGAAAATGACAGATTGTTTTGCCGAGACAGCAGATTCATTTTATTTCTATTTTGTAATCTCAAAGTTCAAACGGTCACATGAAAGTCAAAAATACCTGCTTCTGAGATAATGCCCTGGTTTGACTTCGTGTTAGGACATCCAGTTAGGGAGCTTTAATTAGATTTGAGAACGAAGACGAGGACGAGGACGAAGTTGGTGAGCGCGCATAACTTTGATGTCGTCAGCACGCATATTCAAAAGAAATTCCTAATTCACTCTGAAAAACTAATTTGACATGGTTTAGTTTATGACAATTTTAGCACAAATTAAGGATATTTCAAAGCAAAACAAGGGATGTCCAAAGTCGATCCACAACATCCCGAGGTCAAGAATAGATACCATTCGATCGATTCGTATAAGATAAAGTCCACTTGTATATAAGGAATTCAATTGGTTTACGTCACAACAAATCATCCATCAAATAATCCATACATGCTTCGTTCATAAAGCAATCGGTCGAGAAAAAGCCACTCTCTTATAGTATACGCTCGCAGATTTCTTGCATTAATTTCTTCAGATTTTCAGTGCAAAATAAGCTCAAGAAAAGCTGATAAAAACTTCGTTTTGGACAGAACGAAGTTTCGTAAAAACTTCGTCGTCCTCAGCAAGGAAACAACGAAGTTGCGTGACATTTCATGAGCTGTTGTTATTTTCGAAACTTCGTCCTCGTCCTCGTCTTGGTTCTCAAAAATTAATTGGGCACATGCACAGATGCACTGATTTACCGAGAATGGAATAAAAAGATGTAAGTTCTTAATAAACTTCAGCTTATTATTTACATTTTAAAAATGACTGCATAGTGACGCCAGAGGAAAATGAAGGTGAGGTCGAGGGAAATTGGAAAGGACAGCATTGTGAAAAAAAAATGAGCTCCCATAAGGGCCTGCATACGGACCAGTCATTGTATATTGTATATACTTATGTATATGCTTAAATATGAATACTAGCCATAGTTTTCACTCCCCCGTTCTTATCATTGTTTTTGAATTTGAGAGAGTACTGTATTTTAAAAATTGAAATCACAGGCAGCCCAAGCTCTACAATAGGCGCTTTTAGCTGAAATTGATGAAAACTTAAAAAAAACATAGAAAAGAACATAGTAGGATGTTTATTTTTTTATCAAATTTCAGCTATTGTAGAGCTTTGGCTACCTGTGTGGCCATAGATATTTTGCTGCGAGACAACAGGTAATCCATGTTAAGCATTGGAACGAAGGGATTGTATGTAGCATACATCAATATTATTAGTATAGTTTCATTGTAAAAATGAAAAAGTAAAGAACACTTAGCTTGTCGCTCAAGACATTTTCCATGCTTATTTAAGCGATTTTTGGAACCTTTTTACTTTCGCTTCCTTATGTGGTGTACTTTTAAGGGTCCGGATGCGGGGATTCCCCGAAATCTATATTTATCGCGGAGATCAATGAACACTATACGGAAATACGATTTGTGTACGCTGTGACCGGCAGCCGATTTGCGGTTTTCAGTAAAATGCTATTTGGTTGAAAGAATGATAATGATCAAAATTGATCAACCTAAATTTAGCATGAAAGCTAGTCTATGCACAGTAACCCAGGGTACTAAGGGAATGCATGTAGCATATAGAGTGCGTATACACTTATGAATCCTAAATAAGTACCGTCCAATTATTTTCGTAATTTCGATTCTTAATTGGACAGTTAGGAATAATGCGTGGATGTAATAAACAAGCTATCAGATTGTGTTAAGTGGTTGCTAGTTTTAATTTTTTCTTTGATTCAATTAATTATGTGACGTAAACATCAGTTGAATTAATACCTACTGTGCTCACTGACTTGAATCTTTTGTGCAATCATCCGATTTTTCAATAGTGACTCACGTCCATTCTCGTTACTGATATTGAGACTGCAGTAAAAACGCTTGAATATTCTGATTGGTCAATTAAACAACGCTTGATTCATGGATCACAGCTTCGCTCGGCAAACATCTTCCATTACTGCGTAGTTCGTCAGGAGTAATAGGGTTTCTAACAGATACTACCCACTTTTCAATCACTTTGGATGAATGTAAAAGCAGATGAACTGATTGAATTCCCAAAAAAGTGAAGCAGAATCAGCATGGCAGAGGAAAAGGTAAGTTCTTATTGATAACTGGCAGCTGAGGATTTCAAAAAAGTGCGGGAAACTGAAAAGGACAGCTTCGTGACCGTAAGGATGCTGTCCTTAAAACNTAATATTTGTTACATCATAGAATTATTCAAAGAAAAGGAATTACCATTTACTGATTACACTGTTTGGTTGATGAATATAGTTACGTAAATCGGATTGCCTGTATTTTTAGAGGCTTGCTCCTTTGATGGTATTTTGGTGCAGCTCCTAAATAGCCTTGGACTCAACATTTCGGTCAATAACAACCATCTGGTCGCCGCATTTTCCCARGTGATGGAAGGTAAGAGCTAGAATTCAATTAATGATCCATATTTGACGACATAGGTGTATACATCGCTCCCTATACAAAAGATTCCTAGATCGTCTGCATTACCCCAATTTTCTTATACTGATTTTGACTGAAGAACCAGATTAAATCAAACAATATGTGTACAATATCTTTGAAACAATGCCATCAACGTGTATAGTATTGTTGATGAAACGAGAATGGATAAAAGCTGAAGGTTGTAGGTCTGAAACACAACCTAAAATATTCAGATCATTACCCTTGGAGACTGGATCGCTGGGTGATCAAAACGGACCACATCTTCCATTCCCCGAGGTATATTGACTCTTATAAATACACATATTACTTGAGTTTGAATAAATATCTAGGGATAATTTACTGCAAATTCTGTGGTACTAAACAAAGAGCGTTTTGCTCATGCTCCTTGTCTTATAGTTTGAATAAACTGTCTTATAGTTCATTGATCCGGATGAAATGTCGGCAAACATAATTTTCTTTTTCCTAGAAACAGATGTTTGTGTAAATCCCGCCTCGAAACTCATTCAAATGCGTTCTAAGGGGACAACAAAGTGAAGGGAATAATGCAAAAACCCTATCGTCGATGATAAAGTTGGAAATTGCAATCTTCTATATTGCCTTTTTTGATATTTTTTAGCCATGAATAGCGTGGGTTCAAAACCAAATGCTTCAGACCTCAGCGACTATTTCATCATTAGGAAAATCAGCAGATTACTTCGCGCCAACGAGAATTCGTCCCGTAAATCAAAGAATGCTAGAACCTTTCTGGGGATACTCCTTGCTCGACAGAAAACATGTGATTATGCCGAAATCTCTAAAGAACTTAAAGAAGAAATTGGTAATGAGGGATTTAAGGTAACCGTTGCTGGTATGGTTAGATTTATGACAGCGTAAGCTACAAAACGATTGATGATATAGAAATAAAGAAAAATTATAGTACTAAAAGGACGATTGTATACTTTTTGCGCTTATTGTGACCAATGAAATAATCCTTACAAAATGCAATTTTCTTCACATAGAAGATACGGCTACTTCTTGATGAGTTTGAGTAATATTTTAACACACACATGCTAAACTACCTTTACGAACATTGGGCGCCATCGGACAGTGTTTGCCTTATTTCACAGCGCACCTACTGGGAATTTTTAAATCAAATTAAAATTTGCTAATTACATATCCACTTATTAACACACATAATAGCTAGTGTGCTGAAAAATCGTTTATCTTGCTCGTAAGCCATCAATAATCTGAGGAAGATTGAGAATCAAGTAAAAGATAATCAAAATTGTGAAAATAACTCGCTATTAAATATAATACTGATTTCTTATCGATAGAGGCTGCTTAATGTGGATGGTAAAGTTACTTTAACCTTTGTAATCGACATCAGTGGGAGCATGAAGTTAGTCATCCCTAAAGTAAAACAGATTGCTTTAAGCATTGCAGAATACAAATCAATCAAACATGTTGACTATGTCTTGTCAACTTTTTCCGATGGTACGTACTTTTCTTCATCTTAAATATTCATACATGTGGCTATTATTTGCGCATGCGTTATMGGTTGGCTTACTTGCTTGGCTCGTGTGTATCTTGAGAATAAAATTACTCAAAGAAAAATGGGATCTTCACTTTCATTATCCTGGGGCAATTTGATACCTAATGCCCTTCTGCGATTTCATTATACTATGTTGTTTGCCATCTTTTTTCTATATTCTGTTTATTATTAGATTCCAAAGGAACCAAGCTTCTTGGCAATGTTCAAAACTTTGATAATCTCGAGAATTTCATAGAAGCACTTGACGATATGCTATCAGTTCGTGATTATTTTAAAGAGAAGACTGGCGACTGTCCTGAGCCAGCGTACGCCGGCATCATAAAAGCAATTACAGTTGGCAGTCCACAACGTGGTTCACCTATGTACGTGTTCACGGACGCACCGCCGAAGCCATTTGGAGAGTTCACAGAGGATAACGCGATATATCACGCTCAGAAAAATAAAATACCCATCACTTTTTTCGTATCGAACTCATACTGTTCTCGACGAGCGAGGCATTATTACAGGAACATCACAGAGGCAACTGGAGGATTGGCTTTTGGATTTAGAATACGTTGGTCGACAAGAAAACTCAAGCGGATGATTAAAGGCAGTCTTGATGGCACGTCTATTATTGCCAGTAAAAGGTCAAAGAGAAGGCAAAAATCCAAACGAGGAATTAGAATCGATGCCAAAAGCTTTTATATTGATGATATCGCTCACGAGGGAACCATTGAAGTTGAGGCTAAAGGCACGATGATTCATCTTTTTAATCCCATTGGAAGGCAAATACTTCCTGAAAGAAAAAGCCGCAAAAGGCTATCTTGGACCATTCTCAGACCACTGAGAGGAAAATGGACATTTATTTCTACAGCCAGAAGTTTAAAATTTGGGGTAAAACAGTCAGTTGTTTTTAATACTAACATTACTGGATTCACTTRGCTACTTGAATCTGAAATGCAAAAACATAACGCCGAAAGTTTGACATAATTATCATATTCATGGCCAGATCGCTGTATCCTTTTTTTGTTAACTGCCCTTGCATTGGATTTTCGTCATTAGTACTATTAAATAAGGGGAAGTTGCGGGGGGAACCTAATGATGGAATTATTCGTTCTCTAATGACGTCTTTGATCATATGATTGCTCTCAGCCACTATTATATAAAGGTTGAAATAAGGCAGCCAATTGAATTAAAGTTACCCTACCTAGTTGGAGGAACTTTGAAAGAGTGTTTACTCAACTCAACAATACGAGTAGCATTTAATTAACTACTGGAAAGAATATCAAAGTTACTCCAACAGGCCGGGATTCAAAATAGCTCTTAGGATAGGAGTCAAAATTACTCCCTCAGGTGCAGTTGAAATCGGTGAAATCCACTCGAAAAAAGGAGTATCTGGTAACCTTTTTTACTCCTCTTTTAACGTTATATCACTATCAACTGCTTGAAAACAACAGATTATCCATGTAACCTATTGCTATTGCAGAGGATTAGAAAGACTAATTAGAACGGAATTTTATAACTGATTGCATGGGTGGGGACCGATTGAACATACAGTAGAAACTCGCATATAAGAACCTGTTAGCCTCAATTATGGATTTTATATCCCCTATATCAAATAACCTATTTAGCCTAAAAYTGAAAACAGCTTCTTAACTTTTAAAATGATGTTAGTCATAATACAGCTGCAGAGCAAGATTCSAMTTTGAAGAAAAAGCAGATTATCATTACTGTAAAATGAGTTATTTGTTGTGAATGTTTGGTGKGGATGGGGATGGGGTCAGGAAAAATGAAATAGCTAAATAGCCATCTTGTTTTGAAGCTAAGTTTTATTTGCTTTACTCTAGAATTAAAAACCTATTTTAAGAACCTAAGTAGACGAAAATTAACTACCATTTATATAAGAACCAGCTGTTTAGGCTACTTACAAAAAAGTTGTTTCTTATATGCGGGCTTCTTCTGTAACTCAACTGTGCTGTTTCTATGTACAGGTTAAGTCACAATCGCAGTTAGACATTACCTTGGATTGGAAATTCATRAGGAAAGGATCTATTATAGATCATCCAATCATAGGTACGTCATGTAATGTAATTCCATTTTTCACTCTACCAATAACAATGGAATACTCATCAAGAGTGTYATTTGAGCGTTTAGGCGAYCACGAGGTCRTTAAAGTCGTGCTYTGCATGTGGAACCCTATAACAAAACTTTCTCTTTAGGCTTTGTAACAATATTGGAACAATATTRGAATGATAAAAAAAAATATCAGAGATAAAAACGAGACTTAACCGTCCTTTCATTTTCTGTCTTTAGGAGATAAAGCCACRGTGAAAATTTGCATCCCAAATTTATCGCGATTGCGGAAAAATACGTTGTCTCTTCCTRSTGACTGGAAWCTTTTATCTCATGATGAGGATTTCTACATCTACCAATCAAGGGYTGCCCTTACAGACGAACACTTCAAAATACCTTTGAAAGGGAAAACCTTGTCAGGCTTTGCTTTCACAAGGGAGTCAGTTRTCATCCAACCCAAGATCGCTGTAATCAGRTCCAACATGCGTCCCTGGCTGTTTTCTCCAAAACCAGGACAGARGTTCACTTATACAGCATCAGTTGACTACGCCAAGGACAAACCACAATGGTGTAAAATTAAATTTGCAGTTAACAAAGAAGACGGTAGTTTTGATCAAACAAGGATYTCCATGGGCGAGAACCTGATCTCCCATATTCTGACTGCACCTGCCCAAGGTCRCATTATTGTGAAGATTATGATGAAATGTGACGATTCTGAAATMAACTTCCAGGATGGCCCCTTCTCCGTAAGCGACTAAATCATGATTCGGRTATATACGTATTAGAGTTAGACGACAGGGTCGTGTTGAAACTTGCAAAATAAAGAGGTGAACTTTAAACATTCAAGCTGTTTTTGCATGGTAAATACTATGAAAAAAATAATAAGATGACCAACGACTATATTCCCCAATTTATTCCGAAAAGAAACAAAATCAATGATATTTAGAAATGTGTTCAAGKCCCATATGCATCCAAAAAGCTTTGCACGGTTTTGTCACATTCGAAAAATAGCCATTTCATTTCATTTTGAGCCAAACAGAAAACAAACTTCAACAAGTGACATTAAAAGAAAACATAAATAAAAAAAACAACCATTTTTTATCTTGGATGAGAGTGGGTACCTATTAGCCTTGCTTATTTGCGAATAAATGATATCTTTCAGCATGTACCTGCTGGTATTACTTTGATACAATACAATAGCAGGAGCCGACGAGAGAAATATATCTGTTCTTATCTCCCAACCAGCTGTAAGTCACAACTGGTTGCTAGCGAGAACTAGCATTCAGGAAAAAAGAACTCTCCAGGCAAGGAATACTTTTTTAAGAATTTTTGCCAGGAATTGGAAAATAAAAATGTTCTAACTGAAAAAAATATAAGCCCTTTTTGACCACCATAAAAACGTTATACAGTCGAATCTCTACTTAAGGACACTCCCGTAGGYKGACAGTTCTAGTTACGGACAACTTTTCAAAAACCCCTTTTTTCTCCCATGCAAACACTGTATTTATTCTTTCTATTTACCGGACTTTCTATTAAGCGGACGAGGACACTTTTAGCGATTCCCAAGTGACCTATTYTTATTGTTTTCAATCTCTAGTATAAGCGGACACTTACTTCAATAACTTAGCTACCAGAAGAAATCTTCCATCGTGCAAATGGTAGCCACGAGGCCTTTAGGAGCCTTCTAGAAGTCTTGTCTGACCACCCTACATATAAGCTTCCCAGGGAAGGGATGTAGTATTGTAAATTCAAAAACTCATACATAATTAATGAGTTATTAGGCCAATAGAATGAGCCTATTTGGTCACATGCATGGACGTTTATATCTAATAAAACACTTCTCATTAGTATTCTTTATATAAAGAATACTAATAAGGGTGACCTTTATCAGATATGAAGGTCCATGAACCTAGCAAAGGTCTCAGGTTTGATATCTGATCATTGACCAATGCAGGATTTCAACCGATTGTAGTTAACAGCCAAGAGCGTTTCTATTTTACTTCATGCGTATTCAATGTGGGATGACAAGAGTACTTTGTAAAGTGATTCGCGCATGATCAGTTTGCCTCATTTATCTCAAAACTTATTTTTACGGCAATTTCTCCAAGAATTTTAACGGTTTTGAGTTTCAAATTAGTGTTGGAGTTTTTGAAGCCGTTTAAAACACTCTCTCTCGTGTTTTAAACTATACATAAAGATTAAAAAAACAACTTTGATTTGATCAATTTTTACGATTAATAACAAGTTGTCACTTTAACAAGCTTGTGAATGATAACATTAACTATAGCCTTCTTTCTTCAGTTTGGATTTGAAAATCATCGCCGATAAAGGATTATCACATGTCCTCCGCTGCTGGTGCGCTTTCACGTAATAATAATAACCTTTGCAGTGTTGGTCACTCTTTTTAAAAACTTTGTCAGCAACGCTGGACATTAAACTGATTAAAACATTTTACTATAAGGGCGCATAAAACGAACAGAACAAAAACGAATGATATTTTATATTGCTCTAAAATTTAACAAGGTGTCCAGGAGTCTCCAAGAAATTCGTTTTTGGCGTTTTTGTTGTAATTGTTTTGCGAGGACGAGTAAAAAATGCAGCAACTCTTACTTCTACTGGATTCAGCCTTATATAGAGAAAACACTAACTCTTTCAATGTGACTTTGTTATGTTTATTGAATACAGTATATTGCAATAAATATAGTTTTTTTAGTGTTTGTAAAATTAATTGCTTAATAATTAATATAAGTCATATACCATCTTAATCTTATTTGTTATGAAACTGATGAAATATCTAGGTTAAAAATCAGTTAGCCGGCCACGCCCTTATTTCAAGACTTACTGGATCATTTAGGGGTCTTTCTGCAAATTTCCGACGAGCATCCYCGGTACTTTTAACCCGAGGTTCAAGGCCCATATGCATCCAAACATMTTTGCACGATTTTCTCAATACGAAAAATAACCATATTTCATTTCGAGCCAAAATGAAAGAACTTTTAACAAGAGTACACGATAAAAAAATAAAAATAAAATAAATAACACCGACCATCTTGAATGAGAGTTGGCAGCTGGTAGCCTTGACTATGTGTGAATAAATGATATTTTTCAGCACCTGGTATTAGTTTGACTACAATGCGATGAAGGTTAATCAAATCGTGGGAGAATGAAAATATTTACTTAAGTCATTTGACAGCCAAAGGGATCCGCTGTTTTTATTATTTTATTTGTCCGACGGTCGGTTTCTTTTTCAACGATTGTTAATAAAATTGCAAACATTGATTAAAACGGGGCAGAGCTTTTGATAACCAAAGGTACAGTGTACAGCCTTTTGCAAAAATTATGAGAATTGTTGAAATATCTAAATATCATAATATCCATATCCATATATTGTCCGGAACATGCGGGTTTGCTAGAATAATTCATTGTTGACATCCGGAAAATGTTCAGAACTACGGATAAGTCTGTCGCCAAAAAAAAACTAAACTACAAAGACAAGGGACTAAGGGCATCGCGCGGGATTACCCATCATGCACTCGATATTATGATATTTAGATATTTCAACAATTCTCATAATTTTTGCAAAAGGCTGTATATGAAATTATATATGCATATATTATAATATTGCGTTTGTCATTCATTTCATGTAGCTCAAGATCTAGAAGTTTGGTGTCCTATATGAGGTAAACCAAAATACAAGCAGGGAAATCTAAAAACGAAAGGTGAGAAATCAAGAAGAAGAAAAACAAATCATTAGCAAACCTCCGAACCGCGCGCRTGAGAGTAAATTAAGTCTAGAAATCAAAGCCAAATAGACCAAGAAAAGTGATTACARTACAGATTCCTTTCCCAAAAGTTTCTTTATAAGGAATTTACATTGATCACCTGCCAGCACTTGTACTCACGAATCTATTGCCAGTGTAGATCAATTATTATTTGGAATATCCTGATAAAGTTAACGAATGATGTAACTACCTACAATATCAACAACTAATCTCTGAATATTACAAATTATGATATCAAATGGTGTTTGCTGTAAGGCCGATTTAGACGRCACAACTTTTGCTTACAACTATCGCATGCAACCTGTGCAAGTCATCCTTACAACCTGCCTACAACTGTTGTAGGGATTTTTAACAATGTGCTTAATAACCCTACGACAGTTGTAGCCATGTTGTAAGGATGACTTACGCAGGTTGCATGCGACGGTTGTAGACAAAAGTTGTGCCGTCTACAATCGGACCGCCAAAAGCTAGATTAGCGGCGAGTTGGACGGAATATATATCCAATCAAAGTAACAGCATATAGAAGCACAATTGTAATACAAAGGGGATAGTATATATAATTGAAYTTTTCCCTGGAATTTACTATTAGCTCCAGTGGCACTGCTTAAGAGATTTTGAGAGCGGCTCTTGAAGGTAAGTCTTTGTGTCATGCGCCCAGATGCTACTGTGTGGAATTACCGAGTTTTTAAAAGTTATACCTAAGAAACGTACATGCTGGCTAAGTTACTAAAACATACTGAAGATTGCCATTTATCAGAATACTCTCAATTTTTGGGCTTTTATGGGTGAATATATACTCAGCTATCATACAATTACTGACAATGACCTGTCGTCGTAAATGTTCCATTCTCCAAAACAGCATGTAGGCCGATTGTTATAAATGTCGCACACTCAAAAGTCCCACGCGCTGTTTCAGAAGCAGCTGAATTGAGGGACATTGGTCACAAGATATAGAACCAGATGGGTAGAAGTAAGAGAAAGTACTTTAAACAAGTTTTTCCAAATCATCAAATTACTTTTAAATGGAAATGATACAATACAAAATATAAAAAATATTATATATATATTTCTCATATAAGTATCTATGAAATACCTATATTTCTCCATTTCGCAAAATTGATATTTTCACTAGTGAAAATATCACATTTGAAGTTTCTGTATATAGTGGAAGTAAGAAAAAAGGTATTTTACGACATAATTTGCCTTCATATGTAATTATATGATAAAAAGGAATATTACATGGTCGCTTGGAGATACGAATTTTATCTTCTCATGTTGAAGATCTTTACAACACTCGAAGATAAAATCCGTATCTCCGCGCGCCCATGTAATATCCTCTATATATCATAAAATATTATATTGAATCTCATACCTCAATTTTAAAGTCGTGCGTTGGTTGGTCAACACGTCAACCAGATGAGAGGGTATTTCAAGTGGAATTCAACGGTGAGAAACCTGAATTCAACGCTGAGAAACCTGAATTCAATGCCCCGATAAGCTACCTTAAAAACACTTGCGTTATTTCAACAATTTACTCACAAAATCCGTGTAAAACCCTGGCAAAAGTTATTATCTAATTGTTTTAGTTCCCAACAACTTGTCTATTCACTTTCTCTAGATTTCAAGAAACAAAATATTTTTATTTTTTGCAAATTAAGTAGCAAAAACAAAAACACATTTAAGTTAGTTAAGTTTAACTCGATAAAAGCAACGTTTTCAAACGAAAAAATACCCCAAAACTCATAAATATAACGTCACAATTAATNAACAGATTGACTGATTTAATTCCCAAAAAATTGAAGTAGAACCAGCATGGCAGAAAAAAAAATGGGGTTCCCGAACGCTATTGAATTTTCTTGAAAGTGCAAGCCTGCATGTTGATACTACGCGCGCTTTATTGGATATAAAGGTCCATGGCCCTAGCAAAGGTCTCAGGTATGATACCTGATCATTGACCAACGCAGGATGTCAACCGATTGCAGCAAACCGCCAACAGCGGTTGTATTTTACTTTATGCGTATTCAGTGTGGGATGAAAAGAGTGCTTTGTTAAGTGATTCGCGCA